CACACACACACACGGCTCACGCATCTCAGTAGAGCAGTGACTCATTAACTGACACTTGTGTCCGTGCCTCCGCTGCATAATTGCTCCATAAACCGTGGCTCATAGTTTACAGCAGCATGTGTGTTTATTTGTGCAGTTAAATAGTTATTTATTCTGTATTTGAGCATGCAGATGCTTTTATACCTGTGTGCAGATATGTGTATGCGAGTAGCAAACGTTGGATTGAACTTCTCTGCCTGATGCAGATGCACTCTGGCAGCTCTTGTTAAAATGTAAATGTACATGATTCTGCTCAGGCAGTGGGACAAACATGACCTTATAACTACCCACAATGCCTCTGAGGCCATGCTGAGGTCCCTTACTCATCCCCCACACTTCCCCATGAACAGAAAATCTACTACCTGCTCATATATTTCAAGCTTGTCAACAAAGAGTCTCGGTAAATGAATAACCAATTCTAAAAACGTGTCCTACTCCAGCTGCCAAAAGCATCAATAAACCAAAATGATGAATTTGATTGGCATACCATAACAGCTTTACTGTCCCTCTGCAAATTATGTTGTTTTGGAAGTAAAAAGCTGAATCACTGCAGGCTTAAAATAGCCGCAGATCCCTCTGTGTTGTGTTTCAGAGCCAAGGCTTTGGATGGCTTATGTAACAGCGTTCTCACTGGAGGCCAGTTCGCGACCATGCTAGCGTTGCATGCAGTCACGTTACAGGGAAGGCATGCAAGACTACATGAAATGTTGTGTGGCAGTCGTGATGTGTTTGTCGGTCGACCAACGTGTGCTTTTGATAGCTGATAATAGCAGATATTCTGTGGTCGTTTTATGTGCGCTGTACTCGAATAAAAAAAAAAAACGCTTTAGAAGTTGCATCTAGACTCTCACGGGACACTTAAATTCTTCACTGAAGCCCAGACTAATTAAATAATTTTAGCTGAGCTAGCAGCTCCTAGAAGCTGTGTGTGGTAGGCTTACTGCTCTGTTTTTACAAGCTGACAAAACAGAAGCGGTTGAGTAAAGTCACACTCCCACCATTACCCCAAACTGATTTATTGGTCTGAATATGCTGTCGTCGGTGTTTATCGGAGTATAATTGTTTGTAGCTCTGAGGGGAAATCAGCCTCTCCTGAACACGCTTAATCTCTCAAAATCAAAGTTACACACAGAGTGTCATCAGAGAGTAAAACTGCTGAGCAAGCGTGACAAACTGAGACTCTCCAGCCTGCTGTCTGTCGTACAGCCTACACTTAACCGTGAGAGAGATACTCTGATGCGCACCTCCTGCGCTCCGATGTTTCGCAAAAAAACCAGTTCTCTTTGGTCTGGATGGATGCAGCCTCCAGACTCACAGCGACCCACTCACTGCAGCACTCAGATTAGTAATTTAACGTGACACAGCGTGTCGGAGCCCAATTTATGAAATCTCTGTAGCTGCAGCTCAGCCAGAAGCTTATAGCATTATATGAATTTAAGTTAAAAAAATAAATTAAAAAAACTGGCTATGACCATCGGCATGAGTGGGAAATATGAATTCCAAGTTGTTAGTATACACTGTGGATGTTTTTAAAACACAAGCTACATCTCGACCATGCTATAATTTATGGAAGGATGGATACACAGTTTGATATCAGCCACAGTAGCAGCTGGTGCAGTCATAAACTTTGACGATCAAAGGAATCTCCAGATAAGGGAATTTGCTGTTTGACAGTTTATTCAAACGGCAGCCAAATGACTCAGACTCATCATAAAATGTTTTGTAGTGACGCATGATTCTTTTATAATTGAGATTATGCATGACAATGGTGTATATACTGTGAGTTCTGATGATATCTTTTTGTCGGCAGCAAGACATCTGGTTCATGAGAACTCAAAAACAAACCAAAACAGGGCTGCAACTCACAATCATTTCCATTTTGTTATTGTTGTCAATTAAGCAAATGTTTTTATTGATCAACCGGTTCATCTATAAAATGCCACATGGCGTCTTTACATGTTTACATGTTTTGTTCAAAACCCAAAGATGTTTAGTTTACTATCGCATAAGGCAAAGAAAAGCACCGTATCCGTACAGTTGAGATGCTGGAACTGGGGTATGTTTTTGCATATTTTTTTGTTTTTGCTTACTGATGACTTTGTTTGATTGTTACGTTACTCTTTGGCAACAAATGTTGGAGCAAAATATGTGAAGAGATTATAATAGGAGCTAGTTCGTATTTTCTTGCTCTTCTCAGGATTTTAGCATCCATCTGTTAGTCGGTCAGCCATCCGGGTCTATTTCAGAAAACATGTCTTTTTAATAGTTTAACTATCATATGGATTTGGGAATCAATAAATCTGTTGCTGGTGTGACCAAAAGCTTACATGCAATGGTGGCCACTTTGCAAATATGTCTTTTGATTAACATACAGCTCAACATATAGCTAGTAGCTCAATGA